TGAGTCTACAGAACTGTTACTATGAAATGCTGTTATTATTGAGCAAAGAATTTCATAATGGAGATTCACTGTTTACCATATACACACTTTGTAACTCTCCTAGCCAGAGCTTCTTTGATATCGTCAACAACAACTCATATAAATTAATGTTATGCTTAGAGCAGAAAAATTACGACCAAATTTCTATTTCTTTCTTCAGTAAAGTATAGCTTTTCACAATAATAGCATTATTACTGTTTAACAATTGCAATTTATAACTATAATATCATATATAAAGTTTTATGATTTAAAAATAATAATAATAATATTATCACAGAAGCTGGAACTGAGATAACTAATAGTATCTAGCACTTTAATATTTCTTGCAGCAGTTTTTTCATTTTTGGCATTCTCCTCAGGTATATGAGGAGAGGGGAAAGAGATCAAATTTTTTTCCTATTCATAAACCTGACCTGAGAGGGCCACTGAAGATGCTCAGAGGGTCAGAAGACAATGAAGTGTGTATTGCATCATCTGAGAATGAAAACTCAAGTGACAGTTAAGTTTTAAGTGAAGAACATAAACATTAGCTGTCAGTTTCAAATGAAGACATTGATTATAATTTTTATAGTCCTGTAGCATTATTGCTTAGTTGGGGCCTAAAACAGCTCCTTTGTTTTCTTCTTTTTTCTTTATCTTCTTCTTACTTCTAACTCTTGGTAGTCTAAAACCTCTAAATCAGGGGTGTCCAACTCGCGGCCCAAGGCAAGTTCCAATGCGGCCCAATAAACGTGTAAACAAAACTGACAAATGTTTTAATTTTTTTATTATTTATTTATTTCAACAGCATNATATGAGAGTCGATGTTGACGTCTCCCGCGCTCCGAAAGGTTTCGAATTGTTACCTGAAGACAAGGGAAAATCAATCGGTATTCGTTATTTTCCGTCGCGTCTTTTATGTTTGTTCAGTAAAGTGTTCGTTATCCGATCATAAAAATTTTTCGCGAGAGAAACAATAGAGAAAGAAAACAATAGATAAAGTCGTGTTCCGACGCGACGTTGACCTCTCCCGCGCCCTTCCTGGAGTTTCGAATTGTCACCATGTGACGAGGAGAGACCAATGGAGAGGCGACCGCGGTGGAAAAATCGATAAAACCGCGTTTTCGGGAACTTTACGGGGGTCTTGGGTTTTGGTGTGTAGTGCTCACCTGTCGGGATTTGGTGCTCCCGACCGAGACACAACGAAGGCTCTTGCGACGACCTAGGAACTGGTTTCGCTAACCCGTCTACTCTAGGATCGCCGAGGTCACGTCCAGAATCGCCGAGGTTCGACTTGTCAACCGAGGACATCACTACAAGTGCTGGTGCGTGCCCCGGAGCCATCGTTCTCTGCGTCCACAGTGCCGAAAGCTCCCCAGGGACCAATCGAACATTCGAACTTTCCGATTTTTGGGAACTGTTACAGAAACCCATCGTGGGATAGGCTCTTGCCCGACTTATTGGATTGTTGTAAGAGCGATTTATGTATATTATTAAACAGTTTTATATGGTAAACCTGTCTCAGAAAGTCATTCTGCGCCCACACGACAGTAATGACCGCTCGGCTGTCGAAAACACCTCACCCCTAATCGGCTGACCTCACATTTATATAGTCTCGTGTATACCCCAGAGTGTTCTTCTTTCTTGATCGTATCTTTGTCATTTCTAAGCAAATTATAAACCGTGGGAGCCCTTTTGTACAATAATCTTGTCCGCAATTTTTTTCATGATATTGGACATGCCTCTGTTGTAAGTGAACTTTGTAACGTCGTTGTTCGTATTCTTCTTTGCGTCTTTTAGTGAGAATGTGAGTAGGAACTTATTAACTCATCAATGACTTTTGCTCCAAATCCCAAGGTTCTAGCAACGGTCCTGATTCTATTCAATACTTGCAACCTGTCGTACACGTTGGAGCAATAATGAAATGCCTTTTTTAACTAGAGCTCTAAATGCTGACAGCCCAATGTCAACCGGCCCAATTACGAAATTCGGTTGGAAGGAATCACTCAACACAATTAATTAACCACACTTAAACATTTATAACAACGGCGCAAAAGTTCGTACAGTACGTTACACATCTAAGACATTGTATTCGTGGTTATGCGCGTTATCATCGCGTGGAGAAAGAGTTTACAAATTTCGGAACCTTACGAATCTGAACTAGAGGACTACTGAAATGCAACGTCGAGGAGCACAGGTAATCAGTCTTTGACGTCAATTAACAGTTTTCATTGAGACCAGGCTTCCGGATGTTAGAGAGTAATAAAATTACTAAATAAATTAAAATAAATTTTAATTTGGTTATTTTTTCTACGAAACATTACTAAAACAATTTCTATAGTTATGTCGCTGAAGGAAAAAGTTGCAATTAATTAAAACAATTGTAATTAAGAATTAAAAATTGCGGTCAAAATTAAATAAATAATACTAAATAAATTAAACCAAAAATTAATTAAAACTAAAAATAATAATTAAAACTTTTGTATTTACACCAAAACAAACTAAAACTAAAATTAAAATCAACTGAAAATTAAAATAACGTTTGTAAAAACCGTTTAAAAGTTCATTTACAATTTGAAAATTTCAAAACAAGTTAATTGGGCTGCAATTTGAAAAAAAAAATTGTAAACCTATAAATTCCCACTGTCGTTCATCCGTCTGTTTTTTCTTAATCTCGAGAACGGAATTAGATAAATGAAATCCGAGATCAGATATGGAAACCGTATGGGTAGGAGGCCCACCTTTATTATATAAGAACTTCTGATGAAAACCAGAAGTCACGTTATTTTAATTCAAAATTTTTCCTCTGGAAGGTGTTAGATAGATGACCGTCACGACTCTATTGTTAAAGGAAAGTAAGATGTACAGGGGCAAGCAACTAATAATTTGAGGTGGAGAACATATAATTTAAATTAAATTATTTAAAAATATGATCATAAATTGCAACCTGGCATTGTGACGATGTCACAATAAATAATTTGTCCTAGTTTATTTGTGAAAACTTTGGTTTCAACTTATGAAAATATTTACAATGAAAAACCACATTTTGACCTTTGTTATGTTATGAAACACAATATTGAAGTTAAAATCCTTCTAAGAGATAATATGGAATTAATAATTGTGGGAAATGGAAGGAGCGTTGCATTTTCCCATCAGAAATAGACAAAGAAAACATGCCAGTAAGCGCAAGAGACAGATATGTAGAAACTACATCATTTATACAAACTGTGCACTATATCCATCATTGTAGATAACAAAAGTATATTATATTAACGAACAAATTTTTTGTTCGTTATGTTGTAGACAGCAACTTTAAATGCTGAAGCCGTGAGCTCGAATAGGGATTAGAAAATTACCAATCCGAAATGCATTGTTAAATATGCGAAATAAAGAGAACTATTTTTATCTGGGTCTCTGTTAGTTGTAGATAATTAAGAAAGACGTGATAAATATGACTAGTCTTACTATTGGAATAAGTAATCTTTACTTATAACTTTTTATATGATCTCCAGCCTGACGAAATAGAGTCTGTTTCCTTGAAGTTAACTACCGTTCTTTTCTCGAAGACTTTGTAGATTTCTAACATTTCAAGCTGTTTCGGTCGAGGCTCTATTTTCTCTTGATGGCGTCTTTTCCATTTCTAAGGAGTGAGGAAATTGTAGGGTTCTTCTAAAACCCTACAATTTCCTGTTTTCTTAGAATTCTGTGCTTACTACATCGGGCTATCTGCTTATAGATGAAACAGAGGGCCTTGTCGTAGGTGACTACCACACTGTGTGATAGAACTGCCTCAACTGAAGCATTCGAAAAAGGTAGATATCTACAAACTGTTCGGAATAAAAACGGCATGAATATAAATAGTCAATTTATACGTTATTGTAGGCCTATAATCATACAATGTGGCAAAATCGCTATAAAGGAAATTGCTGTCAACTTTGATGTTATAAACGATAATGTAACGAAACGACGACGTCATCTATGTTTATATCAAAATATCTTTTAAATTATAGTCATGTTACTGAACGCCGTTTAGTAAAATCGTTATATAAAGTTTTAATTTACGGTAGGCTTGGAGTGCATCTCTCAGCGTGGAACGATCACGTTTTGTCACGAAATTATGGTGGACGATCCAGTGACCCGTCAGTGCAGCGCATTATCATTTTTTGCATCCGCGTCCCTTTGACTGCTCCTATATATTTTTGCAATCCCGTGACGTCCGTCGTTTTCGACGAACGCGAAATCAATCTCGCCCGACATTAACCTAAAGACAGCCCTTTTACGAGTGGGCTGTCTTTAGTTTCTGTGCCAACTAGGACGTGAAGCCAGGTCCTAAGAGGACAAGCTGGTTTTTATTTTATTTATTTTTGTTGTTTTGAACACCAAATAGTGTAAATACACAAACACTAGGCAATCTTCGTTTTAAATTTGTTCAATTTTTAGTTGATTTTATTTATTAATATTTTATTTATTTTAAAGCTTCTTTCACCCTATTGGCACTAAAAAGTCTTTTTTATGCTATCATGGGTTTAACCAGGCCCACAATTGGGGCGGCTGATTTTTTAAAACTTTTCGCCCTGTGGGTACTAAGAGGACCATTTTAGCAAGCCCATTTTGGGTTCGGTCAGGCTCATAATAGGATAGACGCGGTCCGACATATCCGGACGGACCACCCTCCAAAAAATTTCTGTGGTTTTTCGATCCTGGGTCTTCCAGATTAATAAGTTGCCATCTTAACCGTTTGGTCTTCCAGGTCCGGAAAAAGAGATAGAGAACCCAGACCCTTATAGAGAAAGCCGATACACTTCCACGTTGCCACCACAGCGGACATAAATTTAAAAATTTGAAAATTTTTAAAAAGCGCACTTAGTTAACTAAAAATTACTTATTATTGAATATACGTATAAAATATACACAACGTATTATCTATAAAACTACTTAACATATAATTAACATACAGTAATTAAATTTCATTGCGCTAAATTCGTTGCGTAAGAACGCGTTTGTAACGAGAGTCGCGGCACAGCAATGCCCTCTATCTACAAGAAACAAAAATGGCGGTTGCCCGGTACGTCAGTCCCGAAATCTATAAAAATTGGGAAAAAGGAAACAAAAACGATTTGTAAGTGTATTATATATTTATTTATTACATTGAAAAGATGTCAATTATCGATACGTAGCTTAGAATTATTACATTACTACGCGTTTATTAAAATCGAATGCTTAATCTCTCACGTCCTCAAGCTCAAGTTCCTTCCCTTATTTACTTTGAATTTGTATTTTGTTTGTTTTGATCATTGACAAATCGATTTGCATTTAAATTTCCTATTTTTCTTTTTTCTTTGTTAAACCTCAAATGTTATATCAAATCTATATACATTTCTTTTAAAATTAATAAAAACATTTTACATTCTATAAGTTATTTTATAAATTTTTTGTAACATTACTTTAATTCATTGTGATAAATAATTAGTTTATTATAAACGTTCAAACTTTACCTATGTGCACAGTGGGGACCCACATTCTAACTTAACCTAACCTATTCTAATAAATTACCAATAATTTAGGTTAGGTTAGATGTGGGTCCCCACTGTACAGCATGTAGGTAAAGATTAACCTTGTAAACTATATATATATTTATTTACTGTACTTTAAAATGTATATAATTTACTATATTGACATTCAGCCAGATATGTAGTAAGATGCCAATCTATTGGCATGAGGGATGTGGGTTTAGTCCTGATCTGGATTCCAGAATGTATTGTAGATAATACTGGTTGGGATGTTTTCATTCCTTCATACCTGCTGACCCCATTGTGAGTCAGGGTGCTTGTAATGGACATACAGCCTTTCTAGTGACTGTCATCATCATTGTTATCATTATCCTTCCAGGAAATAGACCTAGTGACCTGATCTGATCTCTGGTCTTTTTTCCTCTTATTGGATGGTTTTGTAAAATTTTCTTAAATAGATCTGTTTGTTCTTTACACTCTTTTCATCTATGTCTATTATCTTTTTATATCTAGATGAAACATAATTTTATTAAAAATATATTTCTCTTTGATTTTATTTTATGTCCAGATATAATGCATCATATATTATATTGTCAGATGCTTAATGTAGTGTAATATATGCAGTTATCTTACGGCTTGTTTTTATAAAGCTTGGCTGAGCTGCAAAAATGTGCAATAGCAGGGATGGGTTTATGTAGTGAAGAAAACATACTGTTTGATAAATTTGTGACAAGGTCATTGTTTGTTACCACAAAGGGGCTCTTGAACTTTTCAAAACTTCCAGAGCCCTAACTGTGTTTTACCTGGCCAAGATATTCATGTTTTTTGTGAACTATAGAGGGCACTCTGCTAATACAAAATGGCTACTTTATCGGGGTACTAGTAGTCAACATGGAATTAATTGTATATTACTGTCAGATATAATGATATATGCTGCTTGTAGCTGTTTATTGAGATATTTTATAGGAGGAAAATAATTATTATTCTTTTCCTGTAAAATATCTCGACAAACAGCTACAAGCAGCATATATCATAGCATATAAAATGACTTGTATTGCTAGTGGAACATGCCATTTTATATGCTATTATCGAAATAAATGAACGAGATCATTTTGTACATATTTGTGCTTTTTGTGTTCAAACATCAGCTTTGACATTGTCCCACAAACATAACTGGCATTTTAAACTTTAAGGAAAAATCTTATAAAATTGACAGTATAACTTGTTCATGTAAAGATGGACAATTGGAAAACTTTTTCACTAATTCTTAACAGTCTAATCCATTCTCCAGTTTCACTTGTGAGTTTCCCCAAATTTTGATTTCCAAATAATCATGTTTTTCGTGTAGGAATGGATTAAAACTTATATCGGGCTCTGTGTGGCTTTGGCATTTTAATTTGAAACAATAGAAAGCTTTGCTTTTCCTATTGCTATTCATCTTTACTGCTGACAATACTCAAGAATAATTCAAACAACCCAGATAAAATATTTTTGCTTTTAAACACCAGAGGGCGAGCGTCCGGTGAAAAATGCCAATATGAAATGATCTGTAAGTTGTACTGTACATTGACACACGTTACAATTATAGATGAGTTTTAAGTATAATGTAGACATGTGAAGTATCTTTCTACTGTATTAGGGGAATTAACGTAATTATTAATAAACATGTCAGTTTATTAAAATCATGCATTGATAGCAATTCTGAATTGTAAGTTTTTATGCTTCATTGTTACTTTCCTCTCAATGTGACTTGCAGTTCACCAAGATAACTTGCTGTTTTATATTAAGAAAATTGATGCTAGATCAATAGTGAGAGTGAATAAATCTATTTGAATTTGACTGTAAATCAATCTATTTTCAGAAAAGTATGACAGATAGATGTTAAAAAAGGAACAGTTTTTTCATTTTTTTTCTTCTGTACTGTTAGTATATTTGATGTATTTACATTATATGCAAGTATTAGTTTTAAAAACATTTCATATATTTTTACTTATTAAGTATATTCTTATTGAAATTCTTTGATGAAAGAATAGAATTATGACAATTGCAGTTAAAGTTTATAACTCTTATTATGATAGTAAAGTTATATATTATGAAATAATAAATAAAATTGATATTGTTAAGAAATATGTATTTGTGCCATATTCATTGCATTATCATCACTCTCTTCTATGAGTTATTGTCATATTCTTTATCCATATAATGAATATTAGTATACCATTAAGCTGAATATTAAGTTGATGTTGTCGAAACCGTGTTGTATTTGCTTATTGTGTACAGGCACAATGAAGTGACGTTTTTCTCAACACTGGGCTAGTTGAATCTTTTATTTAGTTAGAACGTTTTTTCCATACATCAACGTTTCGGGCATCAGCCCCTCTTCAGCTAACTAAATATATATAAAAATATTTATAGAGAAAAACGTCACTTCATTGTGCCTGTACACAACTGAATATTAAGCTTAAAAGCTTAATATTCAGCTTAATGGTATACTAATGAATTTTGATACAGATGCCATGCTGTACCAGATTGGAAACTGACTATATAATTCTATTTAGAAACCATAATGTTAGTCTTATAACTATACCAATTAGTAATAATTTTAAATTTGATATTGGAATTGGACTATAAACTAGCTTTAAACAATTTCGTTTTTTAGTTTTCAGTTAAATTATCATAGCTTTTAATATCTGCATCAAGCTTTGAAGTTTTTATCTTTAATTTATATATATTTATTAAATTTTCACATTAGAAAGAAGGAATTAGGATTTAAACTGAATTGTATTCTCTGTAGGAATCTGTATTAATTGCATTTTGGTGTTATCAATCTTTTACTACTATCATTATATTTAGAACCAACTGATTGGCATAACTAACTTATAGAGATTTATAATATATTGTATCATCCATCTGAATTCAGACACTCCTGAAACCTTTAAAAACAGCAAAAACAATTTACTTACAAACAGTTTTGGTCTTTAAAAATGACCAAATGTTTGTAAATAAATTGTGTTTTTGTTGTTTTTAAACATTTCAGGAGTATCTGAATTTCCATATTTGCAGTTTATATTTTTACATCCATCTAAAAAAGCCAATAAGTAATATAAACAACATTTTTTTAAATGGCATATATTGTCAGCACAAGAATGAAATTTTGAGTTTTGAACTCTTTTGCGAAGTGATAAAGGCTCTTTTATAAGAGTCCTGAAAGCAGCTGACTTGTATGCAGGTGACATGAAATGAAAGTGGAATAAAAAGTGACGAGAAACATTTTGGATACAATTTGTGAACTTGTGGTTTGATGATTAGAGCAGAAAGTGTTTCTGGCCTTTGAGGACCACATCCTCTTATTCCAGATAGGTTGATGATATCCTGATTGTATGATCTTGTAACCAAAGTGTATATATGGTAAGCAGTAAAACTCTATTGTTAATTTGATCATTCAGTAATATCAACAACCCCTAGTAATAGCTTTGTAAACACTTGCTCATTACCAGATTATACCAACCATTATTAGCATGATTTTTTTTCTGTGTATAGCGTCCTTGTAATCCAAAAATGATTCTTGGTAGACGACCAAACAGCAATTGGTTAGGAAAACATTACAGTTTATTTAAAACAAATTTTTTATTCAAATGCATGTTGGGTTGGTTTATGTTCCCAACCCCTTTTCAGTGCTGTTAAAAATACAAATCAAAGTAAGGTGCATGACATTGTAAATATGATGTTGTGAGATCCGACCTGTGTGTAAACCAATTTTTCACTTTCCACCTAAACTTTTGACATATTTGAAATAAATTTATCACCTTCCTTTAAAATAACATGGTCAGAGAAAAGGAATCAAATATCTCATCAACAATGATAGAAAGTAATAACTCTCCTCTTTAATGTAAACATTCAACCATCTAAACAATGTCATTCTCATATTGCAAGACTAAAGTTTACGATAACATTCCATTTCTTTACTTTATTATGGTCCTGGGAACACCTTTCGACCTCCACACCTGCTAAAGTAACCTCTAGCTCTAATAACAGTCCATCACATGACATTTTTTTCAAGCTAAATCAATATAAGCCCACATCCCCCCCCTCAGTTAGTCTCTCACAAGCTGGACTATACTGAGGAGCAAGATCGTCGAGCTATCTTTATTAAGTGCGGTCTAAGAATTTGAGTTGCGATTTTTATAAATTGTGCACTGTGACATCAAGGACTGATACGAACCTCTGTGGGAATAATCAAGAGGTATGATATCAAGCATGTAAACTCTCTCGGCCCCTTGTACTCGGAAGTTAGGAGAGCTCGAAGTAATGTTGATTTTCGTAGTTGTAAACATCCTTTTTTGTTATTCAATAAATCTTTGATTTTCTTGTTAAATGGTGTCCTTTGCTTGTTTATTGCCTACGCCTTACCGACGACTCCTCTCTCATCCTCCATTCGAACTGACAAAAAGAATCCCGACCCTTTGGGATAGTAAAAGTAGACAAGCCATCCACTGACAAGTGGACAGTTTTCACCAAACTGTTGCCGACAAAAAGAGGTTCGACCTTGTCATTCCTCCGGCGTCCCACAACGTAAAAAATAGAGGGGAGGAAAAAAACAATAACAAAA